TGGGGAAAGATGCCCAGGGTTTTACCATAGTGTAATAAATAACAAGTGAAGACACTTCACCAATGTATAATGCAAACTCATGTAACAACTTTTCTTCAGCTGGAAGTGGGCTATGTAGCTACTCACGCTGCAGTATGACGTAATAAAACGTCATAAAACGTCACTCCCTAAATCATTGAACTGATTAAACGTTATCCTCAGCCTACATCATCGTCTTCCATGCCCCGTCATGATGGATTTTTTAATTGACTTTGACATGAAAACCCACGTTTTTTATTTCACTAAATGAAGGTAAATAATCCCAGTCTCTTACAGAATGCCATGGTACACACAAAATCAGAGGACATCGATGTGCCACAGCCCGATGAAAGTCCTACTCGATCTAACTGCGCTCTAACATGCTGAACATCGTATCAGCCCTCACTCTTATTCCGTAACGTTACTCTCGAGAACCCACTGTTTTTATTGCATGTATGGTCGCTTACTGAATGCATTGTGACAGAACCGGTATGAAAATATTCAAAAACAGAGGACATCATAACACCACCGGCTCCTAAAAAGTGTAGGGTATTTTGACAACGTCTCTAAAACATAACCCATTTTGATCGGTCCTATGAATGACATAGACTCGAGAACCCATGTTTTTTATTGCATTTAATGAAAGAAAATAATCGTATTTTCTTATAAAGTGCGTGAAAATATTCAAAATCAGAGGACATCGATGTGCCACAGCCCGATGAAAGTGCTCTTCGATCTAACTGCGCTCCAACATGCTGAACATCGTATCAGCATTCACTCTATTCCGTAACGTTACTCTCGAGAACCCACTGTTTTTATTGCATGTATGGTCGCTTACTGAATGGAATTTGACAGAACCGGTATGAAAATATTCAAAAACAGAGGACATCATAACACCACCGGCTCCTAAAAAGTGTAGGGTATTTTGACAACGTCTCTAAAACATAACCCATTTTGATCGGTCCTATGAATGACATAGACTCGAGAACCCATGATTTTTATTGCATTTAATGAAAGAAAATAATCGTATTTTCTTATAAAATGCGTGAAAATATTCAAAATCAGAGGACATCGATGTGCCACAGCCCGATGAAAGTGCTCTTCAATCCAACTGCGCTCCAACATGCTGAACATCGTATCAGCATTCACTATATTCCGTAACGTTACTCTCGAGAACCCACTGTTTTTATTGCATGTATGGTCGCTTACTGAATGCATTGTGACAGAACCGGTATGAAAATATTTAAAAACAGAGGACATCATAACACCACCGGCTCCTAAAAAGTGTAGGGTATTTTGACAACGTCTCTAAAACATAACCCATTTTGATCGGTCCTATGAATGACATAGACTCGAGAACCCATGTTTTTTATTGCATTTAATGAAAGAAAATAATCGTATTTTCTTATAAAATGCGTGAAAATATTCAAAATCAGAGGACATCGATGTGCCACAGCCCGATGAAAGTGCTCTTCGATCTAACTGCGATCCAACATGCTGAACATCGTATCAGCATTCACTCTATTCCGTAACGTTACTCTCGAGAACCCACTGTTTTTATTGCATGTATGGTCGCTTACTGAATGCATTGTGACAGAACCGGTATGAAAATATTCAAAAACAGAGGACATCATAACACCACCGGCTCCTAAAAAGTGTAGGGTATTTTGAAAACGTCTCTAAAACATAACCCATTTTGATCGGTCCTTTGATTGACATAGACTCGAGAACCCATGTTTTTTATTGCATTTAATGAAAGAAAATTATCGCATTTTCTTATAAAATGCGTGAAAATATTCAAAATCAGAGGACATCGATGTGCCACAGCCCGATGAAAGTGCTCTTCGATCCAACTGCGCTCCAACATGCTAAACATCGTATCAGCATTCACTCTATTCCGTAACGTTACTCTCGAGAACCCACTGTTTTTATTGCATGTATGGTCGCTTACTGAATGCATTGTGACAGAACCGGTATGAAAATATTCAAAAACAGAGGACATCATAACACCACCGGCTCCTAAAAAGTGTAGGGTATTTTGACAACGTCTCTAAAACATAACCCATTTTGATCGGTCCTATGAATGACATAGACTCGAGAACCCATGTTTTTTATTGCATTTAATGAAAGAAAATAATCGTATTTTCTTATAAAATGCGTGAAAATATTCAAAATCAGAGGACATCGATGTGCCACAGCCCGATGAAAGTGTTCTTCGATCTAACTGCGCTCCAACATGCTGAACATCGTATCAGCATTCACTCTATTCCGTAACGTTACTCTCGAGAACCCACTGTTTTTATTGCATGTATGGTCGCTTACTGAATGGAATTTGACAGAACCGGTATGAAAATATTCAAAAACAGAGGACATCATAACACCACCGGCTCCTAAAAAGTGTAGGGTATTTTGACAACGTCTCTAAAACATAACCCATTTTGATCGGTCCTTTGATTGACATAGACTCGAGAACCCATGTTTCTTATTGCATTTAATGAAAGAAAATAATCGCATTTTCTTATAAAATGCGTGAAAATATTCAAAATCAGAGGACATCGATGTGCCACAGCCCGATGAAAGTCCTACTCGATCTATCTGCATTCTGCGCTCCAACATGCTGAACATCGTATCAGCATTCACTCTATTCCGTAACTTTACTCTCGAGAACCCACTGTTTTTATTGCATGTATGATCGCTAACTGAATGCAATGTGACAGAACCGGTATGAAAATATTCAAAAATAGAAGACACCATAACAGTACCAGCCCCTAAAAGTGTAGAGTATTTAAACAAAGTCTGTATTATAGGAGTCATTTTGATCGGTCTTTTCCTTCACTTTGACTTGAGAACCTATGCTTTTTATTGCGCGAAATGAATGAGAGTTATCGCATGTTCATTGTTCCTATTGAATGCATTATAATATGCAAAATCAGGGGACATCGATGCGTTTCAGCCTGGTGAAATGCCCAGTTAATGAATAGCTGTTTGGCCCATTTTAACACTGCGTCGGCATTTACACAGCTTCCGAACGATATGCCTGATAAGAGAACATGAATTCTTAGGTATTGCGAGCTGTGGGGCCTGTCCCTGTGTTCATACGCTATACCCATTCTGGCATAAAGAAGACATTCTTAGCTTGTAAAGATGTGTAGTAAAAATAGGTATTTGGTCTTCTCATTATGTTTAAGTGATATTTCATTTCAAGTTGCGTGTAGAGGGATTTATTTTCAGTGTTTTGTAGAAAATAAGGGTGAATTAGCTGTTAAAACCAACACTTATATAACTACAAGCTTGGATAGTAGTTTCTTGGGTTACAAGTTTTCACTATAGGGATGAAACTTTTGCACTACAATGACGAAAACGTCATCAATCGTCATCAGATATCGTTGATTTTCTGAGAGAGCACTTCCGGCAGAAGAAAACGCATTACACAAAATAATCGAAGTGTCTTCACTTGTTATTTATTACACTATGGTTTTACTATGTCAGATTTTATTCGAAAATGACGATCGGAAAGCAAAAACTTGGAGTTTCAACGGAAGCAGACATCATTTTTCTCCAAAAATATCACACTTTCGTGCCTGAAATATGATAACTTTTTTTAGCTATTAAGCATTTCCCTGAAGAAGTGAAAGGGGGCATCTTACCCCACAGGGTGGGAAAGACGCCCCCTGGCGTTGGGTAAGATGCCCCCCTGCACTATAAGTGACATAAATGGGCACGTGAATCGCCTGAACGAATCAGCAGTCCCTTCGAGCCTGCAGTAGACACCAAACGTCATCGTAAGGGCCCTCAAAAGTAGTCGTAAGGGGCTTCAGAGGTCATCGTTAGGGCCATCATAGTCCATCGCGGCCAAACAAGCCTCCGTGGTGGCGTTCGGAGACCACTGTGTGGCCCTTATAGGTCTTCATGATGCTTGAGGGCCCTCGAGCCCATCGTGGGGACCTCAGATGCCAGCGCGGCCCGTGGAGCCAACGTGGGAGCCCTCAAAGGATGTCGTGAGGGGCCCTGGAGCCAATAATGGGGCTCACAGAAGCCGTCGTGAGGGCTCTCAGAGTCAGATGCCGCCCAAAAAGTCGCTGTATGGGCCGAGAGACCGGCATGGGAGCACCCGACCGTACTGGACTCTCAATAGTCCCAGATCGGCTTTTGTCTCTAATCACAAGTATGTAATAAATGATTTGACGGGATGCTTGAAGGACAGCCTACGAATTTAGGGGGGCGTCTTTCCCCATCAGGACAGGGGGCATCTTACCCCAAGGTACCGAAGTAACATTAAATCAGTACAATTTGTTAGCCATAAAACTACACCTTGAACCAAACTGTTTGGGACACAGTACACGCATGTTAATGTATCACGACTAGGTATAGCAAGGGACGCAAAAATTATCTACCTTCTTTGATAGTTACAATGTTTTGACACCAAAATATTTTTTGAAAGCAGCAAATAAAAAACATGCAATCACCAGCCAGCCGTTGCCCAACTGAGCTTCGCAAATTTTTGTGCAGTTAACAAGGCAGGCTTCCGCTTTACGCTAAGAACATTAATTTCCAGGTTCGATTCTTTGTTTCGCCGCTAGAGGGGGTGGGGCGTCTTTCCCACCCTGGGCATCTTACCCCACTCTCCCCTAAGTGTCACATTCCGAAAGGTATGAGAGGAAAAAATATCATCAAAATAATGCTAATGAGAATAACCTGTTCAGCTGTCAACACATGGCTTGCCTTGTCTGACCCTGGCTTTCCAGCCGCTTCCAATGAATATGCATCATTATTGCAGATTTTCAATGAATGCCTTGTCGATGCCCTCCGCTGTTCTCCCATTATATCAGACACCGGCACCCTCCCCTGTTCCCCCGTCCCTCCCCCGACCAACCGCAGGAGACCGCCGGCCCCTGTGGGACTCCGTCACGTCAGTAGAAGAGCAGCCGCTGTGTCTCCGCAGCGACAGTAGAAGACGAGCTGGTCACCACGTCAGCAGAAGACGAGCTGGTCACCACGTCAGCAGAATAGGAGCTCGTTACCACGCCAGTAACGCGGAGGAGCCGCCCTCCCTGTCGCCGCCTCTGACCCCAGCAGACCGGTAGAAGAGAGGAGCCGTTTAGTAGAAGAGCAGCTGCTCGTCGTCCTCGCTCTCCATGGCCTGCTCGTCCGGCTGGTTCATGAACTCGTCCTCGTCATCCGAGGAGGTCCAGTGGTCGGCCTCCTCCTTGTGGTACTCGAGCGCGATCCGCGTGCAGAACACGTCCTCGCAGACAGAGCACCTGCCGGGGAGGAACACAGTCCTCACAGACAGAACAACTGCCGGGGGAGGAACACACGTCCTCACAGAGAGAGAGAGCACCTGCCGGGGGGAAATCAGTCCTCGCAGACAGAACACCTGCCGGGGGAGGAACACACGTCTTTATAGAGAACACCTGTCGGGGGAACACACGTCCTTATAGAGAACACCTGTTGGGGGGAACACACGTCCTCACAGAGAGAACACCTGCCGGGGGAACTCAGTCCTCACAGAGAGAACACCTGCCGGGGAAGCACTAAATCGCGTGATTTGGCCTGAATATATCATGATCAAAAGCATGCGCCCTGGTTTCCTCTGTTAGCTTTTTTACAACTCACTTCTAAGACCTCAGCAGAGCCGCCGATAAATTGAGCACCCCTCCGCTCACAAACGGGCATGTTTTTGACTGAGTGGACGGAGCGCAATAAGGCGCGTGATTCGGCCCAATGCCTAGTCTCGGAACACTTTGTCCGCGTTTGCTTCTGGTTCATGAAAAAAAAAATTGTTACATTTGCCACGCAAGTGGTCGGGGCGAGTGTTTGTCACTTATAAAGCTAACTGTAAAAAATAAAAATGCAGTTTCCACTATGAATAACTTGACATTGTTCGGAGCACTACAAACTATTTTCATCCAGCTCCTGAATCATGCCATCCTCGAGTCACCCCATGGTGTGTGACCGGCACAAAGTGACCCCAAGGTGTGTGACTGGCACACTGATCCTGCTGTGTGACCTTGCCGGGCACCGTTACCCTTCGACCGGAAATGGTCGGGGGTTCGGTCACCCCGCGTCAGCCCTTCAGTATATTCCGCGGCGGTGGAGGGGCTCGCCACTGGTCCGAGAAATACCACACTGAGGTCAACTCCAACTCCAACAGGTGTCAGCTCCAACTCCAACAGGTGTCAGCTCCAGTTATTTGTTGCCAATTATAGTCCTCTTCAAGGTCGTTCGAATGAGCCACGCCGGTGTCTCCGGTCGTCGCCGTTGTTCTGTGATAGTTACACGAATTCGAATAAGTACCTATTTCGTCCCAAGTGTCTTACTATCTTTATCTTTTGACTCGTTATTTTATTCCATAACTGTTTGGAATTCTACTGAAGCGTTTTTTCATGAATTGTATGATTATCGTGCTTGTGCCAATTTTAAGCCTCATTAAAGGGACTATCCCACCTTCTAAAATGTTGTTAAAACCAGTTAAATTGTGCCCGACTTTATAGATTGGATGACCAGGAACACGGTTCTGGCATTTATTTTTCATTAAACATCTTAGGCTTCCCATATTCCAAACACAAACTTTCAAATATGTGACGTCACAGCCCAAAATTACCTCCTTCCCCAGGCCACATTACTGTCATAAAGCTGATTCTTTTTACATACTCTGAAGGCACCACAACAAAGTTCAGACCAAGTTTTAAGCGATTTTTCAACGAACAAACCCATTTAAATCAGAATGACTAAACGAGGTGACGTCACACTAACGGTCGCTCCATGTTGAAGATCGGGCCTTGTACAAGGCCCATTTTCAAATGAAGGGAACGAATTTCTTCAACACCAAGAGGCCGCGGGGGTTGCAACCTAGATAGATAGTAGTTTCTAAACCTCGCCGCAAACTTGGCTATCTCAACTCAAACCCCATGTTAAAGGTGGGATAGTCCCTTTAATAGCTGAGCTGGAATATTTTTGTCTTGGACGACATACGCGGGGGCGCGGGGGCAAAGTGGACGGGGTAAAGTAGCCAGCCCCCAATTGGCCATAAATTGTTTCCATCTGGACAAGAAACGTTATTGATGCTAAAATGTATCGTCAGGCGTTTAGTTCGGCCACTTTTCGATTACATGAGTTACCAAAAAATGCAATGCAATGTTGTTGTTTTTTTCTTCGAATGCATTGTTGCATTGTTTAGCTGCAGGTGGGAAGATAACAAATAAACATCCATCATCCTCTTTTAAACCTTATTACCATCGACAACTCTAGTCGCGCATGAGGCACCTATTCTGTTTCTAATGTCAGGGCAGAGACATCGCCGGTGTCCACTTTGCACCGGGGTTTAGGGCAAAGTGGCCAGCATGAATAAGGTGGAAAATTTTGCCAATATCTCCTATAGTGAACGCCTTTAGAGTCAACACGAAGTTGGAATGAAAGGCAATTTAATAAGGAACATGTTGACATAGGAAGAATCTTTCCCAGTTTGAAAATGAAGAGTCGGCGTAGAAACGAACATTACTGTGTCTGCACTGGTTGCTTTTCCCTGGTTTCCCCTATAATGACTTAACCGACCCCATACCGTTAACTCACCCGTAATGGCGTTTCTTCTTCTGGTGGTATCGAAGGTGTGTTCTTGTGACGAAGGTCAGGTCACAGACGATGCATGTGCGGTCATCTTCTGCAATGATAAAATATTCCATCAAAGCATTATAGTATAGTCAGGTCAATAATAGGATGATATCAGTGCTGAAGGCAAGACAAATGAAAGCAAAATCACATAGGTAATAACTCAACATGATTTCAATCATTATCGAATCAAACACTAAACCGTGCAAGGAATGGTACGAACTTAATTTAACACTGAAGAAGAAAATTGATGGATTGATTGTAAAATTTATCAATTGCGTAGGTATTTATTTGACAGAGCAGTAAGACTGCTTAGTTATATGGAGGTAATAGAGCACCGACACCGCGCCAGCAGTGAGGCACAGTCCACAGCAGAAGTAATGTGGGGTTTCAGTCATGGGTATGATCTGCTTCTGAAGCTTAGGAACGATTAGCCAGACTACAATGAAACTTTGAATGTAGCTTACATATATGTATCTTCACCCTTGCAGCTGCAACTTTAGCTATGGACATCTTCTTTTCGATCACTCCGCATTAAACAATCGTCAGTCAAAGCCAACCGTTGAGATTGGTAAAACCCTACATTACTTTAGCGGTGGGCTGTACAGTGTACAGCCCTCTGCAAACTGCGTGGTAGGTATTTTTTTTTTCGAAAAAAACGAGCATAACGCGAATACTATGCTATTGGTCATTCGGAAATCGTGACAGCAAGACGCGCGAGACTTCGCACCTTAACCCTATTCCTGGCGGGGGGGGGGGCCTCAGGAGCCCCCCCCCCTGAGGTTTTTTGGTTCTATCTCCCAAACGCGTTGAGCTAGGAAGCTCAAATTTTCTGACTTTTCTTAAAAGGCTTCTACGCAACATGTCTGAAAATTTTGAGTTGATCTGACCTAAGGTCAGGTCACCAGAGGCGGTTTGGTGACGCTACCTCAGAAAAGTTTGCAATCACGCCAGAGCTAGAGTTTTTGACCGATCAATTTCTTCTCTTCAGGGTTTAGTTAGGGTACCAGTATGTGCAATTTGTATATCTCGGAATTTTGATATCGGTGACCTAAGGTCAGGTCAATTTCGCGACCTCCCCATTATAAGTCAATGGGGGAAAAATCAACTCCCTGTTTTTACCACTAAAACGGGTCGGAATGGCCCCATATACGATACATGACTTCATATACGATCAACCTTCACTACCTTGAGGTCTGTTTTGCTGTTGGGCAGCTGTGAGGTCATGTGACGTCATCAAAGGTCACCAAAGGTTTTTGGCCAATAACTCCGTACAGGAACAAGATACAGACGCGTGGATGGTCTCATTGTGTTTAGCTCGTCAAGACGCATCGAATGATATACATGATGACCTCGAGGTCACGTGACCTGAGGTCAACCTTTGACCTTGACCTTTCGAGGTCAACATATATATCATTCGATGCGGATTGACGAGAGGATCACGATGATGCCCTTAGTTTGTTCCTATCTTGACTAATTCGAAAGTTATTCGAGAAAAACTCTCTCCATATCTAGTGCCGCCATTTTGACTTTTTCGACCCCTGTGACGTCATCTTTGACCTGACCTGAAAATGACCTTAGTAAAAATTGTAGATCTTGGCCGTGCGTATCCGATGCCGTTTACCGCTTGTCGCTATCTTGCTTCGTTCTCGAGATCTCAGGGGGGGGGGGGCCGAATCGGCCCCCCCCCCCCCGCCAGTTTCTTGTCCCGGCGGAGCCCGCCAGGAATAGGGTTAAATTGACATCATCGCCGTATTCATTTTCCATCTAGTTCGGCATCAAAACCCAAAAGTTTATATTTGCCCCCAAAACAAACTTTTGCATTTTGTTGCCACACAAGGCGTTTATCTTGTTAAGTGATAGACCTAATCGAAGGAGTGGAGCATGGCGCATCTATTTGCAGTGAGTTCTGACCGACTGATAGCATAGCCTTTGAGTTATTATCGGTTTTGTCGAATAAAGAATGCCTACCACGCAGTCTGCTGAGGGCTGTACATACACCGTGCAATCCTATGTTCGATATATCATCTCACTTATTAAATATTTTAGTGCCTTGTAGGTATATGCCGTTTAGTAACAGTAATTTTTCCAAAACTAACTATGATAATATTGCAGCTATGGTAGCTATGTCAGCCGCAAAATTCCCCGCCGCCTCCCCCTAGCCGAATCTGATGATGATTTAGATCTATCATCTACCATCTGATATCATTACCTAAAGAATTATAGATACCGGCTCAATGAGACAATGAGACTGAACTCATCTTACCGTCGTCAGTGAGACTGAAGTCCTCTGAGTCGGGGGTGGCGTCATTGGCCGAGTGTCGCGCTGCCGCCGGGGGTGGGGCCGGGGGCGGGAGCCGGGACGGAGCAGCGGCGGCCGAGCCGAGCTCGGTCAGTCCAATAGGGCGGCCATCTGAGCCCAGCTGGCCTGCTCCAACATGGCGGTGGTCAGAGCCGAGCTGGACGGCTCCGATATGGCGGTCGTCGCAGGTGGTGAGTTTGTCGTAGCCGTGCGACGAGCTGCTGATGTTCTCTGAAACGGAGAGCCGAGCGGGCTGCAGGTGACGCACGCCGCATGGTGCTTATTCATCCTCGCGTGCCCGTGGCGGTGCAGTGTGAATAAGCACATCAGGGCTGTGCTATGTAAATATTCACTGAAAAGTTCATCAATTGTGGTGACGTGGTCAATGCACAAATATGGGACCATTACCTACCTACCGGCGTCAGTAAACCCCCAACTGCCAAGCTATGGGCGGAGCTGAAGGCACCGAGCCGTACTGAGCACAAAGAAACTGATGGTGGCGCGGCTGTGGCCTTCAGGAGTCCTCAGCCCTTTGGAAGGCTGATGCCACGGTATATTGGCTGACGCGAGTGAACAGGCGGACCCGCCCGGACCTGGGCAGAAAATCGCTGCCTCTTGTCTGGTGGAGCACTGGAGGCCAGGCGGCGCCGCGGTCAGCGAAGGACTGTCGCCTGTAACCGCACATTACGCAGTAGGTACATACTAACTAGGCATGCGACTGTCTGCATAGCATAGGCGAAGGAACAGGGGGCGGGGGCATAGCTCCCACTTTTCAGCCATTTTTAAAGTAAAATCTTTATTTTTGATTTAACTACAAAACTAAGAGCAGAAAATGATTCAGCAAGGTGAGATGAGCACAAAACTGCAAAGAATTTCTTCATAGGGGTATTGGGGCTCACACAGAGTGCCATTGAAGATCGCCTGACCAGTCGCCGGCAGTCGGCAGCATCCCGCGACCCTATCTCGTCCCGCTGCCGAACGCCTCGCCGGCCGCGCCGGGGCCGCTGTGCCGCGCCCTCTACCCCGGAAAGGTACTCCACTGAAATTATGCATCTGCCCTCAGCCGACTACTGATGAGGGCATCCAGATTTAATAAAAGTCCGTGCATGTCATATCCGCGGGCCCGTTCAGTTTTCCGCGAAGTCGTTGTCTAGTTTCCTATTGGTTTTCGTTCCGAGGCCGCCGAGGCGAGGCTTGGCGGGCCGGAAGCTGCCAGGGAGCAGCCGCCATCCGCCGCTACGACCCCCTGTCGCCTGTCGCTGGGTTTTCGGCGCTGCCAGCACACACACCATCAGCTGCGCCAGTGTAGGCACCAGACTCAAGACTGACCCTATCGGGCAGCTGCCGCCTCCAGCCGGCCGCCGTAACCGGCCTCCAGCGATCGCCGTGACCGGCCGGACTCCAGCGATCGCCGTGACCGGCCGGCCAGTCCAACTGGCCTGCGGGTCAGTGGAACAGTGCCCTTGGACCAGTGACCCCTGCAGTCCGGTAGGCTCTCGGATCAGCGGCCGCCTTTCTCTCCAGGATCAGTGGCCGCTGTTCTCTGCGGGATCCGGCTCGGCGCCTCTCGATCCCCAGCTCGGCTTTTAATTTCGTCGATCGGTTTGGGCGCGGCGGCAGAATTCCGATCAGGGCGGCGTGGCGGGGAGCGGGGACGGCCCCGGCTCACGGCGCGACTGCACCGTTTCCGGGCGCAGCGGGCAGCGGACAGCGGTCCCTCGGTATGGCTCACCATCAGTACCGGGCAGCGGGCACGGCTCACGGTCCCAGCGATACCGGCCCAGCGCTGAAACGGTCCGCGGTATCGAGGGCGGTATCGCACCGCACTGAGACCACTGCAGATCCGCTGCGGAGTCATTGGCCTCAGAAACCTGGGCGGCCAACAAAGTGTTCTGTCCTCACCGCTCGGCCTTATTCTACCGAGGTTTGTTTGTATTCCTTTTATCATGCCATGCTCTCTCTCTCTCTCTCTCTCTCTCTCTCTCTCTCTCTCTCTCTCTCTCTCTCTCTCTCTCTCTCTCTCTCTCTCTCTCTCTCTCTCTCTCTCTCTCTCTCTCTCTCTCTCTCTCTCTCTCTCTCTCTCTCTCTCTCTCTCTCTCTCTCTCTCTCTCTCTCTCTCTCTCTCTCTCTCTCTCTCTCTCTCTCTCTCTCTCTCTCTCTCTCTCTCTCTCTCTCTCTCTCTCTCTCTCTCTCTCTCTCTCTCTCTCTCTCTCTCTCTCTCTCTCTCTCTCTCTCTCTCTCTCTCTCTCTCTCTCTCTCTCTCTCTCTCTCTCTCTCTCTCTCTCTCCTTTACCTGTGTGCTTTTGTGAGTGTTTGTGTGTTATCACTCTGTGTGTTTATCTCTCCTTCGCCCTCTCCGCCGGCGTTCCGGCCGTCCTTTCTGACGCCACCCGCCCTCGCCAGCCACTCGTGGCCCGTTTTCCGCCGCCGCCGCCCGGAGTGATGCGATTACGGCCGTCGCCGCCCGTTCCGCCGTTTGGACAGCGGCGATCGGCCGCTGTCGCTGGGATTTGGCGCGCGCAGCGACCGGCTGCCGCTGACGAGGTGGCAGCACAAATCGAGTGGAATTCGGCCCGGAAATGGGCGCCGCTGATGGCGGAAACGGCGCGGCAGCGGCGATCGCGCCGCCCAACCCGCTCGGCCGATGGTTCTGCAGTGGTGCCCTTCTGCACCACTGCAGTGGTGATCGCGCCGTAATGTTCCTGCCCCAGAGAGCTGCCCCGGTCGGCCGCTGTGGGAAGTCGAACAGTCTGCCTCACTTCTATAGAGGAGACTGCACGGTTCGTCGGAAGGTCATTTCATGCTCAGAAGAAACGAAATATACCATTCGAAAGCTGACGGTGAGCTGATAAAAGTAATTTTTATCAAAATCCTTCGATGACCTTCTTTAAAAATTGCGTTTTTGTAACACATTTTTTTTTTTTTATTCAACGTGCTGTCCCGGCCATCTTTGTAATCATAGACATATTTTTTGAGGTCCGGTGAAAGCTGAATGCCAAAAGAGCAATATCTTTTTAGCGAAACGATATTTTCAAACATTAACCCTCGCCGGCCGAGGGGGGGGGGGCGGGTGCCGCCCCCCCCCCCATAGGGTTTCTTCGCGATAGCTCCGAACACGCTGGCGATAGAGAGCTGAAACTTGGAATACCTGACCTTTGATTCAAGCCGGATCTTTTGACACCAACCGCATTTTGGGTCAGGCCAGGTCACTGACCTATGACGTCATAAGTGAACCTCTGCACGGTCTTCAGATGTCGCAACTTCGCAACGCCCTCACTGCCAGAGGAGATGTCACAGGGAAATGAAACTTGCAGGATCTAGTATCCATTATGAGTCTCACAACTTGTATATCTCGGATTTTTCCTAAAGGTCATATGAGGTCAGGTCATTTTCGTGACCTCACCATTATAAGTCAATGGGGAAAAATGAAAACTGCTTTTCTGGCGCCGGGAACGATCTCCAACTATCTCAAGCACACGGACACAGAATCGTGATTTGATGCACTCCTTGCAAGGTTAGATGCGTCACTTTTGCAATGTTGACCTTGCGTGACGTCATTTATGACGTCATCAAGGTCATATTAGTTTTTCGTCAATAACTCCCGATCAAATAGGGCTAGCGAGTCGGGAAGGCCACCAATGGACTCAGGAAGACCTGCCGAATCGAATGATATGCGATATGACCTCTTCCGACCAACTTCGTGACCTGGAGGTGCTGACCTGACCTTGACCTGAGGTCAACACCCTAAGTTGACCTGACCCGAACAAAAAGTAGATCATTCGACGGCTCGACGCGCCTGAGCGAGGCGAACACGATACTGCCAAAATCGCGGCTCTGCGGCCGTTTTTTGCGAAGTTATTCACCAAAAACTGAACCGTACCTTGGGGCACTTGACCTGACCTCAGAGTTCACCAGTTGACCTAGGACCTTAAAATCGGGTACCAATCTCTGCGTCTCGTAACGGCGCACACACTCGTTTTTTCCGTGACGCGCTAGCTCCACCAGGGGCGAAACGGCGAGGGGGGTCGTCCCCACCCCCCCCCCCTCGGCCGGCGCGTATGTACATATGTAGAAAGCCAATAGGTCCGGCTAGGGTTAACCCGCGCACCGACGGGGGATGGATATCCGCCCCCCCTGAGGTTTTTCGTAGATAGCGGGAAAACTGCGGCGCGTAGCGCCGCGAAATTTGGTACATACGACTATTCTCTTATCAATTTTACACATGGTGTGCAAGTTTGAACCTTATAACTTTTAAGGTCAGGTCACCAGGTCACTTTGAATAACCCAACCTCAAGTCACTTTTTTGCAACTTTGTCACCGTGCCAGAGCTACAGTAGATGTCGGCGGCCTTTGAAAGTCGCAGGATTTTATAAGGTCATTAGTAGCTACAATTTGTATATCTCGGAATTTTGATATCGATGACCTAAGGTCAGGTCAATTTCTCGACCTCCCCATTATAAGTCAATGAGGGAAAATCAACTCCCTGTTTTTGCCACTAAACGGGTCGGAATGGCCCCATGAACCATACATGACTTCATATACGATCAACCCTTACTACCTTGAGGTCTGTTTTGCTGTTGGGCAGCTGTGAGGTCATGTGACGTCATCAAAGGTCACCAAAGGTTTTTTGCCAATAACTCCGTACAGGAACAAGATACAGACGCGCGGATGGTCATTGTGTTCAGCTCGTCAAGGCGCATCGAATGATATACATGATGACCTCGAGGTCACGTGACCTGAGGTCAACCTTTGACCTTCACATTTCGAGGTCAACATATTCGATGCAGATTGACGAGAGGATCACGATGATGCTCCTATCTTGACTAATTCGAAAGTTATTCGAGAAAAACTCTCTCCATATCTAGCGCCGCCATCTTGACTTTTTTTACCCCTGTGACGTCATCTTTGACCTGACCTGAAAATGACCTTTGTAAAAATTGTAGACCTTGTCCGTGCGTATCCCATGCCGTTTATCACTTGTTGCTATCTTGCTTCGTTCTCGAGATCTCAGGGTCATCCGCCCCCCCCCCCCCGTCGGTTCTAAGTTGGCGCAGACCCCCGTCGGTGCGCGGGTTAAAATATATCACGGCGCAACGGGGACCATTGTAACATTCTTGCAGGGGTCAAATATAGCAGGTTATAAGTCAGAGGCCATTAGGTCAAGGTCATTAAATTTTCAAGGTATAGATAAAATATTGCTAGAATTAAGAGAACTATAAGTTTTGTGCCAA